TAGACGCCTTCGAGATCGATCTCGATATAAAATCGACAGATCGCCCACCCCTAATAGAGAACTAGTATTTTAGCCAGAAGCAACCGTTTAAACGTTTAAAAGTTAAAAACATCCTAATGATGGTTGGAAACATGCAGCTTTTTACGTCACAAGACATTAATTGATGGACTGGAGTCGTACATTTTCTGCAAATGTTCATTTTAGGGTGAACTACTCCTTTAAAGTACATTTATGATAATGCTCTTTTGAATTCTGCTTCAACTTCTCACTGTATTTAAACAAACAAACCTGTCTCTCACACACAATTCTGTACTTTTTTAATACATTCACATACACATACCTTACTCTCTACGCTCTGTATACTTCAGATGCCCCAGGGCTTGCAGTTGCCACAAACCTGATGCCAGGCCAGCTAATCCAAGTATTTCTCCCATTCTTACAGCTCTAGTTACCCACCAAGCATTATACTACACATATACAAAAACAATGACAACTCTACACACAGACATACGCACAAAAACAGACAAGCAGATCTATAGTCATGGATGCTGTCATCCATTTCAACATTAACTCGACAAACAGCCAAACTCAGCAGAACTTCTGGGAATTTCAAAGGACTTGGAAAATGTATTTGTTATCATTGTGAGATCCTGTGAAGTGCCCCTCTGAAGAACAGCTGTTTCAACCATTTTTGATCCGACTCGTGTACATATAAACCTCATAGTTTGATTATGTTAGATTAAAGCCAGTATTTCTTAGATTTACATGTGTAAATGAAGCCTTGTGATTTGTTTTGCTAATGAATGCATGTGTGTGTGAGGGTGTTGACGGATGGCTAAAGCTTGTGCTGAAGGTATGCGATGATGCCCATGAGGTAATGTAGTGAAGCAGCATTAAATTACCAGCAGACAAAACAATAGCCTGTCTCTGCTCTGTCCGACCTGCTGCGTCGTCAAACAGCACTTGATTCGAATGGCCAGTGCCTCCAGCACACCCACTGAGCACAAAACCCTTCCTGAATGCACATTTCCATTATGTTATGGTATAGATATGCAATTTATGGAACACTTCAACCCCCATTGCTCTGAGGTCATAAGAATACACATCCAACCATATCTTTAGCTGCAGGCATCTTAGTTTATCGCTGAGCTTTTGCATATATATATATATATATATATATATATATATATATATGTATGTGAAGAGTTCATTTGCAAAAATCGTCTGAAGGAGTTTCGTCAAAGCTGACTAAAAATGATCGAGGATGGATCATTTTGACAAACGGGATGAACCCATGATATCTTTGGGGCGTAAAAGGAAAATAAAAGCTGAAACTTTTTCAAAGAACCTTGCTAAAGCAGCACATTACATGAGGGAAAAGCTCCCTGTATATATATATATATATGTATGTGAAGAGTTCATTTGCAAAAATCGTCTGAAGGAGTTTCGTCAAAGCTGACTAAAAATGATCGAGGATGGATCATTTTGACAAACGGGATGAACCCATGATATCTTTGGGGCGTAAAAGGAAAATAAAAGCTGAAACTTTTTCAAAGAACCTTGCTAAAGCAGCACGTTACAGTGGTGAGGGAAAAGCTCCCTGTATTGCATGTAATCACAACAAAAAAGTTTGTCAGGCATCTACATTGAAGAGATTACAAAGATTAACCGAGTGTTATCTGCTTTTGCCAAAAAAGGACTGTTGGAGTTATCTGCTTTGCTAAAAAACAAACTTTTAATATATAAAAAAACATACTTTCAATGAACTTTAATTTTGTAAGTTACCTGTATTTTTTGAGTTTTTATTATTTAATTAAAACAACCCAACTGCAGTTTGATTGATATTACTTGGAATGCACAATAATAAAAAAAAAACATGATTTATAAAAATTCATAAAATCAGAGTTATCTGTTTTTATTTAATCGGAGTTAACTCTTTATTTAATTAATATTTAAAATGGTTGTAATTCATGTTTAAAAAATGTAGTTATATGTATTTACATTTACAAAAAAATATGTGTGTGCGCATGGAAATAAATGTATTAAATGTATATATATTAGTGATGCGCGGATGAGCTAAAACGTCACCCGAATCCGCAGCTTCAAATAAATTATCC